ATCAGTTATCTTTTTCTTTCTCTTCTCTTTTTTTATTGGCCAAATAGAAATTTTTATATAGTTGAATCTACTCAACTTTGCCATTGTGGTTTAGTCTTTTCTGTAGTTCAGCAGCCCTAGATAGGAAAAGTTACCTTAATTGCTGACCTACATCCTTTACACACACACACACACACACACACACACACACACACACACACAGAGTCTGTTACCTTAATTGGTGACCTACATCCTTTACACACACACACACACACACAGTCTGTAAAAATATTGCTACTGCCAATCAACAAGATCTCAGAGTTTCATACCAATCAAATTTTCTATTGTCATTATTGTATACACTAAAGAAAAGAGAAGCCCTGGGAAGCAGAAAAAGAAAGCTCATTCTCTAATTATATAACCTGTAACTCTCCCTCATCTCCTAGCTCTTGAAGTTTCCATAACTACCACCAGAGATGCTTATTTATTCACAAATAAATAAGAAAACTCCCCTCAAAAGAGAGTACTCGATTCTTTACTATGGATTCAACTAATCATCCACCTTTCTTACTTTTCCAATAACTGCCATGAAATAAATAATGCAACGGGTTAATTATTACCATTCTCACTCTTAACCTGTCAATTTTGCCCACCTCCCTCCAGTCTCAGAGGATAAAGTCTTCTCCTCATGTAATAACCAACTCTCCCATCTAAGGCTACTTTATCATAATTTTTTAAGTTATAAAAATAATTATTGTTTTAAACTGGATCTCAGTGATCATTGCACAATGGTAAAAATTTACTAAAACTCACTTTTAAAAAGGTGTCGTTTTATGGTATATAAATTACACTCAATAAAGCTGTTAAAATAATTAACATAATAGAAAGGTTAGGAAAAAGGAAAAATCACCCACAATACTTATCCCTTAATTCGTTACCACTAATATGGTAATCCTTTCTACTTTGTTTTTATAGAAATGGGGTCTCGCTATGTTACCCAGACTGGTCTCAAACTCCTGGCCTCAAGTGCTTCTGAGTAGCTGGCATTACAGTTCTGAACCACAGAATCTGGCTGCATTCTAACTTCTTAAATAACATTTTTAAAAATTGTAAAATGTGTATATATTCCATGTAAAAAGTTGAAAAAAGTAGAAACACAAATAGAAATTTAAAAACCCCAATATTCTACTCCCTAAGAAAATGATTATTGCTTTTTTTTTGAGACACAGGCTCACTCTGTTGCCCAGGCTAGAGTGCAGTGGCATCATTATAGCTCACAGCAACCCCAAACTCCTGGGCTCAAGTGATCCTCCTACCTCAGCCTCCTGAGTAACTGGGACTACAGGCACATGCCCCCATGCCCAGCTAATTTTTCTTTTTTTTTTTTTTTTTGGTAGAGATGGGTTTCAGTCTTGCTCAGACTGGTCTCAAATTTCTGACCTCAAACAATCCTCTCACCTCGGCCTCCCAGAGTGCTAGGATTACAGGCATGAGCCACCATGCCCGGCCTAGTATTTGCTATTTTGATATATGTTGTTACAGCCTTTTTTCCTATACTATACACAATGTATTTTTTTTCTATTGTCATATTATGCTATCAATTTCCTTCTACAGCTGACTTTTCCTTAGCAATTGTGGTGGACAGACACTAAGGTATCCCCATGATTTCAAATTCCACGTATTCATCCCTTCTATTAGCTCCTCCCCTTGGGTTTGGGCAGGATCTGTTACTTGCTGCCTCTAGGCAAGAGAATATGGCTAAGGTGATGAGATGTCAATTCCATGATAATATTACATAAGAATAAACCAATCTTACTAGGAGACTCTCTCCCTTGCTGGCTTTGAGGTAGCAGTCATTTTGGGATGGCATATGTGACAAGAAGCTGACAGTGGCCTCTGGCTAAGAACCAGCCAATCCCTGAGACTCAACCAAGTCCCTGAGACTAAGGGACTCAGCCCCTTAGTCTGACAGCCCACATAAAACTAAATGATGCTAATAACCATGTGAGCTTGAAAGCAGATCCATCCCAACTCGAGCCTCAGATGAAACCTCACCTTCAGCTGACAGCTGATTGCAGCCTTATGAAACACTGAAACAGAAAACCCAGCTAAGCCATGATCTGATGTATAGAAACTATGAGATAATAAATATTTTTAAAGCTGATAAATTTGTGGTAATTCAGTTATACAGTAATAAATAATACAGAAATTTATCAAAACACATTCTCATACTAATGTCATTCCACAAAATATTTTTTAATGGCCGCATGGTATTTCATGGAATTAGTATAGTTCATTTTACTTAACTAATGCACTGATGTTGGACACTTAAGTTACTCCCAGTTTCTATTTTTAAGTATAATTATATGCAATGAATACCCTTGTATGAATATATTGCCCCTATTACTGATTTTTTCCCTCAGTATAAATACCAAGAAATATAATTTCTTGGCCAAAAGACATGCATATTTTTGTCACTTGTATTATTGACCCCATTCGCTTCTATCCCCTTAAGGTCTCTCATGTATTTCAACCCCTCCCCACACTTTGGCTCTTTGCTCTCAGACTATACACATTCCCAAGTCTCTTTCATTCTAAAAGATAAAAATCTTCCCTTGACCCTGCATTTCTCTTTAGTTACTGTCTTTTCTTCTTCTCATCTAAAATATTTTAAAAAACTAGTGCACACTGGCTATCTCCATATCACTTCCCATTCATTCCTTAACATCTTATATTAGTCTGCATGTTCTTATATTGTTCTAGTGATAACTATTCTTGCAAAAGTTACCGATGCTTTAATTCCTGAACAAGTTCCTAGCCTGTTGTTTTGGACTGCTGACACATTTGACCCTTTCTTATTGAAATTATCTTTTCTCTTTGCTTCTCTTTTCTCTTTTTTCTCCTATCTCTTCGATCATTTCTTCTCAATATTGTTTATGGGCCTATCTTTCTCAGTCTACCCCTAACTTTTAGTTTTCTATAAAATTCCATCCTTAGCCCTCTTCTCTTCATTTTCTATCCGTGCTTCTGGGATGTACTATTGAATTTACCACCTAATGGCCGATAATGCACATAACTTAATCTCCAGCTCTAAGTTCTAGAAGGACATATTCAACTTTTTACAGGATTTACAGGACTTACATTCATAACTATTCTAAACTAAATTCATATCCCCACAAAAAAACCCCACCTTGTTCTTCTTGTTATATTATCTATTTTAGTTGGTGGTACTAGTATCTGCTTAGTCAACCAAATTTAAACGCAACAGTCAACATTAACTCTTCCTTCAATCACCGAATCTTGCTATTTTTACCTCCATCTCTCTAAACCCTTCCTTTCGTCTCTATCCTCAGTCCCATGACCATAGCATCATATGTCCTGCATTATTTTCTTCTTCAAACAATGCTTTCTTTCTTCTTCCACAATGCTAACAGAATCATCCATCTAATTGTTTTTTTTAAAGAAACTATCTTTTAGAGATTCATAC